CCCAACCCAGCCGTGTTCCAGTCCCCCCGCCTCCCCCGAACCAGCCACTCCCCTGCCCTGGGGCGAAATAGGAGCCAGCACCTCCTAGAGGGGAAGGCCCCATGCCCCACACCCACTTACTCTGTCTCTGCTGGCCACTCTCAGTCAATCCATCATCTGTCTCTTTCCTCTTCTTGCGCCGGTGATGGGAGAACCGTGCTGAGGGCCTGCCGGGGGGTGTGTGTGTGGGGGGCAAATCAATGGTGGATGGCCAAGCCCCGACACCTCCAGGGACAGAGGCCAGGCCATAGAAGGGACTCCCCGCCATAGGGCCAAATGGGGGCCCAGACATATGGAGCCTTGGGCATGATCATGAGAGAGGACCCAGCCCTTCCCCACACAGATATCCCCATCCCAGCACCGTCCTGCCACCCCCACACCCCACAAAAGACTCACCCAGTGCTGAAATGCAGCCAGCTCTGGGGTGGGGCAGCTGGGGAACAGCCACACAGTGACTATTGCCTGAGAATCTCTAAGCCCTTTAACAACAAACAACTTCAGCCTCATAATGCCCTTCCAAGAGCTGGGGGTGTCACCTCCACTTCACAGACAGAATTGAGGTGCTGATTGCAAAGAGACTGCATCAGGTCAAATGGCTAAAGAGGGAGAGAACCCAGGAGTCCTGACTCTGCCTCCCTCCCTCCCAACCCACCAGACCCCACTCCCTGCCCACAGCTGAGAGAGAACCCAGGCATCCTGGTTCCCAGCCCCCCTGCTCTAACCCACTAGACCCCAGGCCCCCATCTGCTCGTCCGTCTCCCGTCAGGGTGGTGTCTGGGCCTGGCAGCCCTATGGCGCACAGTGAGGCACCATGCCGCTGGAGGTACCCACCTCTTCCCAGCCGTGGAGGGGGAGGAGTCCCTGCAAAGACAAGAGGAGAGGGGAGGTGAGGCCCGAGGTGCAAGGCCCCCCACCCTTCTCAGGGGCAGCAGGCCCCAGCTGCTACACATGGTGCCCCCTGCTCCAATCCTGCCCACACCCCTGACCCGGGAGGAGGAACGGGGTCTGAGGAGCAGGGTGGAGGTCAATGGGGTAGAATCTGCCCAGCTGAGGGGGCGGGGGGGGGGGGGAGAGCTGAACCTGGCTGGGGTAACACAGCGCTGCGTGAAGGGGACAATCCAGACACCCCCACAGCTCAGCGCTGGAACGTTACGGGCCCTCCAAGCTCTGACTTGCTTTCTCAAGTGGCCCCAAGAAAAAGGCTCCCCCCACCCAGCCCCCCCAATAGCTCCTGGCCGGAGGCTCCTTACTTGCTGAGCGGGTCGCTGGATGTCTTCCCGGCGTCCTCATCCAGCTGCTCCCTGCAAGGAGCGTGTCAGTCCAAATCAGAGCCAGCCCAATCCCGTTCCCAATGGCATGCGACCCTGGGGGCCCAGCCCCTGAGCCAGCTGACCCACTGCCGTGGGGCTGGAGAGACCCAGCACTCCCAAGAGGGGAAAGGCCCCATTGCCATTCCCCCTGCCCCTGAGCCAGCCAGTCCCCCGCCCAGGGGTCCCCCTAAAAGGGAAAGGCCCCGTGTCCCTTTCCCAGCTGCCCCAAGGCAGTCTGTTAGACTCCTGTCGTTGGGGTGGATTAGAACTGGTGACCCCTAGAGGTGAAAGGCCCCATATGCCCCCAGCTCTGTTCTAAGCCCAACTCCCAGCCTATGCTCTCACACCCCCACCAATCTGCGTGCATCTCCACCCACCGGTCCACATCGCTTTTCTCCAGCAGACACTGCAGCACAGCATCAAGGCGGCTCCGGGCGTTGGTCGTCTCCAGATCTGCGGTGGGAAGTATAATAGACACATGGAGCCCTGAGCGCGATGGTAGGAGAGCCAGGCTCTGCACATCCCAAAGGGCTCCACGCACAGGGATGGCTTGCGCAGCGCTGAAATGCAGCCATCTCTGGGGCGGGGCAGCTAGGGAAGAGCTAAACACACAAGCTACAACTGGCCAGAGCAAAGGGGTTAGCACCTTGTCTCTTGGGGCTCTTGTAAGGTCAGAATAGAACCCAGGAGTCCTGACTCCAAGCCCTCCCCCCCTTGCCACTAAACCCCACTCCCTTCCCCAAGCCAGGACAGAACACAGGAGGTCCAAAGACTGCTTTGGGACAGGAATTGAAGAAACCTAAACACAGGGAGGCAAAACAGAATCTGTCACGTTGTGGGGGGCAATCCAGAGGGGGAAAGAGTTGTGTCTTCCCTTACCGCAACATGTCTCACAACACCTTGCTACTGTAGCTGCCTGCCTGGGATGCCCCCGGTCAGGACCAAGCATGCGCTCTATGGCCAGGTATTGGGCAGCCCTCATCCAACACTTTTGCTCCAGGAGCCAACCTGTGATACCCAGCCTTGGTTACCAATGGGTCAGGTGAGTCCATGCAGTATCCAGCCCGGAATCTCCCCAAACTGTATGTTCCGAGATGTCCAGCCCTGTCCTGGGACAATCAGAGGGAGGTTTGGGTCTGCTGTTTCTTTACAGAGTCAATAGCCCACTGTTTGTTACTTGAACTGAAGTTCCCCAACAGCTGAGTTCAAACACAGCCCGGGATGGGTCAAGATTCAACATAAATAACGTTCATGTAATTCCAAAGAGAGCTTTGCAATGAGTTCAAGTGGCAGGAACAGTTACAAGAGAAAGGGTCTAGTGACTGAAACTTAACAAGGCAGACGTGGTGGAAGGTAAAAACCTCCCCACGTCTCCACCAAACTGGCTGACTGAACCCCAAGGGCTGGATCAATCCCCCAAAGTCAAAGGGGGCTAGATACTTTGTCGTCTTAGGGGCCAGCCAGATCACCTGGCCCCTCAGAAATGTCAACGACAAAAGCCTATTTCAGCTGTGAGATGGCACCGTGGGGTCTGTCCCACTACCACCCCACTGGAGTTGTCTGCCAAGATGGAAATAATTTAATCCTGCCTCTGCTGGTGTAACCAAATGCACGAGACATGTGCTTGGCTATCTCCCTCCCCCCCCCACCATGGTAGTGTGCCATTTGCCTCCCCCCTTTGTGAGTGTGGTGAGCCTATTTACATGACATTCTCATGGTCTTTCAGAGTACTGCAGGAGTGGAAAACTCACCCTTCTGGCTACAGTGGGGTAGCTCCTGCTCGGCTGGCAACCACTTGCCAATTATCATTTCAGTTTCCATCCATAACTTTGCACCAGTTGCCTGCAGCCACACTGCACGATGATATTAATACCCAGTGAGTCACGAGCTTTCCGTTGGCACTTCCCAAGGCATATTTTGTACAAAGGGTGTGAATCCAGGCATGCTTCAGGTCCCCTGCCCCCCTTACAACGCTGCAGGAGGGTTACCCGCTGGCTGAAGCCAAAGGCCCCGTTTCCTGGACCAGGATCTGTTCCCTTTCTATGTACAATTTCCATCTCATATCCTTGGAGCGTCACGCTCCATCAGAGCGGTTTGGGACTGGAGCCATCATGCTAATGCAGAGTGATCGGTTAGGCCCCAGAATTTCTGTTGCACTGCCCACGCTCCGGCCCGGCATTCTCTTTCTATGACAGAAAGATTCTGTTCAGCGGGTGTCAGATTCTTGCTTCAGAAAGCAGGTGTGTGTGTGTGTATGTGTGTGGTGGGGGGGTTATTACTGTCCCCTGATTGCATTAGTGCAGCTCCTAACCCAGCAAGTGAGGTGTCTGTGCACAGCTCAAGTCTGGACTAGCCAAAACAGGCTTCTCAGCCAAGATTTTCTGTCCCTTATCAGCCCTCGACCTGCCTTCGACCACACAACGTTGTCTGGCTTTCTACACACATCTGCGATTGCAACTACAATGTCACTGAACCCACATGCCCAGAGAAGCTGGGTCAGGGTTCTACTGTCCAAAGCAAACATTGCAAAGGTTGATTGTGCTATAAAGATGGGGGGGGGCCGCACCCCACAGGCGCTGAACCTCAATGATAAGCAATTGACTCAACAGGCTGCATACGATATTACGTATTATCAGAGGGTATCAAGTGAGGTCTTTTCTGAAAGCTAATGACACGCTTGGTGATGAATATCCTGGGGAGATGTCTGTTTTAGTGCTACGGGGGAAATACTGACACTTAGTGAGGTTATGTTTTACAGCCTGTGTCCACACACAGGGAGAAACAGCTCACTCCAGCCAGGCAGCTCCCTCCCTTCCAGGAGATTAAGCAAGGTGTGATCACAACCAACAGACAGGCCTATTTACACAGACCATACAGGGGATGGGAAGCCCATGGGAAACAAACAACCTGCTGCTTAGAACAAGTTCTCTGAAGGAATAAGGCAAGGACAGAAGCCACCTCTGGCACCCGTCACTAGACACAAGAGATCAGAGCTCTTGCAAGCTAAGAAAAACAGGTCTTTCCACCACAGGGGGCTTGAAGTTTCTGGAACTGAATACAGGTGAGAAATCTGCTTAGGTAAAGTTCTTGCACCTAAAAGGACCAAGGAAGCCAGCGTGTTGTGTTTTGTGACCTGATTGAGGCTGGGAAGAGCAAGCGGGCAGACAGACCATCTTGACCACCACCTTGATAGATTGTTTTAGACATATGTTTTCACTTGTGTTTTACCTGTACCCCTTTCTAACTTGATTGTTTTTACTTAGCATCACTTATGTCCTATTGTTCATAAATGGGTCTTATTCTTACTACAAGCCAACTCAGCGCGGTGTTTAAATGGCGGGTGCATTCACTCCGGTGAGGTTAATAAGCTGTGATGGGTGGGTGTCTTTCGAGGAGCAAAGGAACCACATTACTTCTCTGAACTGGCTAGGAGAGGGCTGGACGTGGCAGAGCATACTCGGGGGGAAATTCGGGACTTGGAACACATTAGGGTCAGCTTGCTGGTGGGGCTGCAGACAGGCTGCTGGTCCAGGGCTGTCTAGCGCACACACAAGGTGTGACCTGCATGCTGGTAGATTGCTACTGGATGCTCGTAGCCAAAGCACTGGAAGGCACCCCAGGCTACAGGGCAAGTGGAGACAACCCCTCACTGGGCTGGATTGCACCCTGAACCCTGACCAGACTGTCACAAAACTTGTCCCTTTGAATGGCTGTGGATGCCTGGGTCTGCGCCCCGAAGATCCTGGATGGCAAGCGACTGGGACCCTCCACTCACCAAAGTATTTTGAGGATCACAACATGCCCAGGGTGGATAGAGCCCATGCAGAGACAGGCATGTAATCCCAACTTCCCCCATGACCACCCTCCCCCTGGGGGTGTAGGTTCTGTGGCCTCCTTAGAATGGATCAGCCGCTGGGCACAGAGCAGCTGTGGGGGTGGGAAAGTCTTTCAGTGCCTGGCTGGGGGGCAGCTGGAATCCCAGACTAGGTGTCTGGGGGTGCCCACCCTGCCATCTGGTACCACCAGGGTTCTTCAGGCAGATCCACAGACTTACGGAACCTACCCTGCTTCTCGAATTCCACCTTCGTAGGTAGCATGGTGACCTAGGGCCGGGAACCCTGCAGAGAGAGAGACACCGGGGGTCAGAGAACGTGCTACGGGGACACAGCCATGGAGAGCAGGATGGGGTCTGGTGGGTTACAGACAGGGGGCATTGGGAGTCAGAACTCCTGGGTTCTATCCTGGCTCAGAAGGGGGATGGGGTGGAGGGAAATAGAACCCAGGAGTCCTGACCCTTTCCATGCTGAATCAGATTGCCAGATTTTTCAACAACCACCACCACCAGCTCTATTGGCCCTCAGGAGTCCAAAATAAGTCACCAACCAGCTTGTAAAGAGAACTGGAGCGCTCAGTGCAACAGGAACCCAAAACAGCAGCAACGAAGGGACCGACTGCCCAACGCAATCCGGTGCAGAGCTTTTGCTTGGCCTGTTTTTCTAGCCGTAGGGCAAAGCCACACAGAGAGAAACCAGGGTCATTTCCCTGCTCTTTGTAGCTAAGCTCGCTGATATAATGGGCTGAAATGGGCCAAGTGCATAGCACAACAAACCAAGTTCTCCAGCTGCACTCACAGCTCCAGCTGACAGACTGAAGGGGAAACGTGCTAGCCCGAAAGCCCCCCTAGGGCAGAGGGAGAAATGGAGCAGCACTTCACAGACGCTTTTCCGCCTCAGGACGCTGCACAAAACCTGCACCATCTTCACGTCTGCAGCCAGCCAAACTGACATCCTCTAGAAAGGGGACAATCCAGAATTTCAGGGCTTTTGTCTCCCTGTTGTTGGCTGCAGTAGCTTTTTCCGTTCTGGGTCCATTTCCTTGGGGATGGTGGGTTGGAAACCGCGAGCCATCAATCTACCAAACGTAGCACCTGCTCGATTTCCAGACCACTCTGCTTTGACAAAGCCAAATGCCAGCTAGAGGCAGTAATGCCCAGGTGCTACTGGCCAGTTTCTGGGCCACTCGGGGACAAGATAGTACCTGGGGCAGGCCATGCTGGGAAACAGTTGGATTCTGAACTTCAAGCACAGTTCCATTGGGTGCTCTGGGGGCAGTGAGAGGCAGTCAGAAGCCCTGCCCTTCCCAGCCCACACGCAGCCCCCCCACTACCCTGCCAACCTACTGCCACAGGCCTGCATCCCCCACCCAATGCAGACCAGGCCCAGCCCACCACGCACACACAACCCCGTACACACCAGTGCAGACCAGGCAAGAGCCCAGTACCATACACCCCCCCACACTGCACCTACCCCACTCTCCTACGGGCCAGGCCCAGCCCCGGTATCACCACCACACACCCCATACTCTTCTCCACAGGTATCTTCACCCCCCCACCATATACCTCTCAACCCTACCCCCACGTATCCCACAGACCCACCCCATCCTCTACATTCCTTCCATTTCCACAGCCCCAACTCTCCCCCCGCATAGTTCTACCCCAACCTACCCACCCCACATTCCCCATCAACCCCCACGCTTCCCCCCACACACCCCTCCGAGCTACCCCACACATATCTCACCTCCCCACCCCCACTCTGCCCCCCACATAGCTCTGCCCTCCTCCTAGCTACCCCGTCACCACATCCCATACACCTCTC